AAAAAAAAAAGAAATGGGTAGCGGGGGAACAGGGCACTAACCCACCCAAGGGCAGGGTATTGTTTATATCTCCACAGGAAAAGAGGGACCAGTCTTCAACCCAGTGCTCCAAGATGTGAATGCAACATGCCGACATGAAGCAGGGAACCAGTAGAGAGGTCTGAGGGGCTGGCCCCAACCCCAAATACGTGTACAGACACCCCTCCCCACAGAAGAATTCACTTCAGAGAACAGCACGGGAGGTACAGCCCAGGGAGAGGGACATGTCTCATCAGAGCACAGGGGAGCAAATGAAGGGGGAGGAAGAGAGAGTGGAGCACATCCTGACCCACCAAGCCTTGAGGATGATATCCCTGCTCAGAGCAGCCAATGCACAGAGAGAACCACATGGCCGGCCCCACTATGAGACACGGCAACCCTCACTGAACCATAGCCCTACATGGGACAACACTGGAGACACAGTGTGGGAATTGCGCCCAATCTGACCCCACCACACCAAGGCAAAACATTAAGGGTGTGCAACAGAACAGCAAGGAGAGCAGAACAAGGAAGTCCCGAGGGAGTACCAAAAATAGACTTTCGGGCCAGGGCGTGGCACCCCATCAAACTCGACTGGAAAACACTCCTAAAGGTCAACAAACAGATCTTGAACTATTTACAGTCATTTCTTTTTTGTTGTCATTGTTTTTTGTTGCTGTTGTTTTGTTTTGCTCTGTCTTGTTTTTGTGCATATTATTATCTCTGCGGGTCTATCTAAATAAGATAGGCTTGATAAATAATCTGGAGGAGAAAACAACAGGACCAATGGTTCCTGGTTCTGGGGGGATATGGGAGAGGGGGAGGTGGGGGAAAGGAAGTGGTGTTAACAAAGGAACAAGTGAACAAGGGAACAAGGGAACAAGTGATCCAAAATCCGTGGTGAGGAGGGTATAGGAGGCCTGGTAGGGCTTGATCGAGGGCAATGTAACTGAGAAGAATTACTGAAACCCAAGTGAAGGCTGAGCATGATAGCAGAACAAGAGGAAAGTAAAAGGAAATAGAGGATAGAACTAGGAGGCAAAGGGCATTTATAGAGGTCTAAATACACGCATGCACATATGTAAATATATTTATATATGATGGTGGGAAAATAGATCTATCTATGTGCATATGTTTATAGGTTTAGTAGTAGGTAGCAGATGGACATTGGGTCTCTCTACTCAAGGACTCCCTCAATGCAACAATGCTTTGTTCTATTAAACTGGCATTCCATGATGCTCACCTTCCCAACACGATCGCTGTAGACAAAGTGGATGCATAAGCAAATGTGGTGAAGAAAGCTGATGATGCCTGGCTGTCAAAAGATATAGCGTCATGGGTCTTAAAGGCTTGAAGATAAACAAACGGCCGTCTAGCTGAGAAGCAACAAAGCCCACAGGAAGAAGCACACCAGCCTGTGGCCATGAGGTGTCGATGGGATCAGGTATCAGGCATCAAAGAACAAAAAAATCATATCATTGTGAATGATGGGGAGTACGGAGTGGGGACTCAAAGCCCATTTGTAGGCAACTGAACACGGAGGAGACGAGCCAGTCAGCGTGCAGTGTAGCAATGATGAAACATACAACTTTGCTCTAGTTCTTTAATGATTCCCTCTCCCCACTATCATGATCCCAATTCTCCCTCACAAATCCGGCTAGATCAGAGGATGTACACTGGTACAGATAGGAACTGGAAACACAGGGAATCCAGGACAGGGAACCTCAGGACTAGTGGTGAGAGTGGCAATACCTGGAGGGTGGAGGGAGGGTGGGGTAGAAAGGGGGAACCAATTACAAGGATCTACATATAACCTCCTCCCTGGGGAATGGACAACAGAAAAGTGGGTGAAGGGAAACATTGGACAGTGTAAGTA